GTCAGCTGGTACAGTAGCCTAGCTCATCCAAAAACAGAAAACACAGGCAGTAGGTAGCTATCCACAGTACTAAGCCATTATCCCAAACCATGGCCATGGCATGTGTTGGCACTACCTTATCATACAAAGTGGTAAGAAAATGTTGAGCAGATTTACAAAATATTTGAAATAACAAAACACCTTTGGTGGGAATTCAACACCCAATTGAAGTAGCTTCAGCGCATTTTCATGTGATATACGGACCTCATAGATAAACACTGTTTGAGAGATTTAAGTTCTCAATGCTACATTTCAGTGCTGGGGTCCTAACACATACTTTGTGTTTGTGGCGTATTTATTTTCATAACAACATTGTCAAAGAATCATATCAACCAGACTGATATTCCAGGTTACTGTGACGATCATCAGGTGAGGACCTGAGGACCTCCAGCAGTGTGTAATAACCCTATAACCTTCGTAAGTCCCTTATGACCCTTCGCAAGAGCCTAATGACCCTTCGTAAGATCCTTATGACTCTTCATAAGAGCCTTAGTACGATCCTTATGAACTCCCCCATGAGAGTTAACCTTCTACAGTTTGTTCCCCTTATGTTTGTATGATATATATATATATTTTTTAAACAATACCATTCGCGTTTGTGTTACTTATAAGCTCATAGTGTGGTAAACAAGTGTAAGCTTCTCCTTCCCTACACACTGACTATGTGAGAAGGCAGGCATTAGGGCTTTCCATTTACATTTTCGTCATTTAGGCGACGCTCTTATCCAGAGCGACTTACACATTTGGGAATGATATGATTGTGTATGTCATAAACATTTCTCCATATGTCTCTACTGTACTCTATGTACAGTAGGCTACAGTAACTATTTTATAAGGCATGATGTATATCCCACTGATACTCAATAGTACTACCGTGTAGTTAGTACTGTATTACTAGAAAATGCTAAATTACAGTTCGTTTCTAACACTGGGTGAAAGAGAGCGCCACCATGTGGTGGTCTCCAATAGAGGAGCCTATACACCAAACAGACACACATACACGGCAAACAGAAAGAGAACTGATGATAGTGAATAGTGATAGTGTTTTTATGGTCAAAGACGCACTAAACACCAGTCAAGGAGTCCAGAAGAATGATTGTCCATGTGGAAAGGTTCAAATGTGAGTTGATGTGGAGGACAGGAGTTTACAGAGGTTGTCTCAACCTGCCCTCCTCCTGGAAACAACTGAAGAGGAGAGGCAGAGTGGGGTTCTGTTGCTCCCAGGCTAGGCCACTGATTGACTGACCAGGTCACATGACACAGGTCAGGTGAGAGTTGCCCCTAGCAACGGAGTCCCAGGTATCTCAGTCAGTAATTTTACATTTACATTTTAGTCATTTAGCAGACGCTCTTATCCAGAGCGACTTACATTATTTTGTATACCCCCCGTGGGAATCGAACCCACAACTCTGGCGTTGCAAACGCCATGCTCTACCAACTGAGCTACATCCCTGCCGGCCATTCCCTCCCCTACCCTGGACAACGCTGGGCCAATTGTGCGCCACCCCATGGGTCTCCCGGTCGCGGCCGGCTACGACAGAGCCTGGATTCGAACCAGGATCTCTAGTGACACAGCTAGCACTGCGATGCAGTGCCTTAGACCACTGCGCCACTCGGGCATAGCCTTAAGGTAGGGAGGGGCAGTTCCTCTTGCTGTTCTGTAGACAAGTACCATAGACTTGTAGTGGATGCGAGCTTCGACTGGAAACCAGTGGAGTGTTCAGAGGAGCGGGGTGACATGGGAGAACTTGGGAAAGTTGAATCAGGGGATGGAGAACAATCCACACTTTTTTTGTGTGAAAATACACTGCTCAAAAAAATAAAGGGAACACTTAAACATCTCATCCTAGATCTGAATGAATGAAATAATCTTATTAAATACTTTTTTCTTTACATAGTTGAATGTGCTGACAACAAAATCACACAAAAATTATCAATGGAAATCAAATTTATCAACCCATGGAGGTCTGGATTTGGAGTCACCCTCAAAATTAAAGTGGAAAACCACACTACAGGCTGATCCAACTTTGATGTAATGTCCTTAAAACAAGTCAAAATGAGGCTCAGTAGTGTGTGTGGTCTCCACGTGCCTGTATGACCTCCCTACAACGCCTGGGCATGCTCCTGATGAGGTGGCGGATGGTCTCCTGAGGGATCTCCTCCCAGACCTGGACTAAAGCATCCGCCAACTCCTGGACAGTCTGTGGTGCAACGTGGCGTTGGTGGATGGAGCGAGACATGATGTCATAGATGTGCTCAATTGGATTCAGGTCTGGGGAACGGGCGGGCCAGTCCATAGCATCAATGCCTTCCTCTTGCAGGAACTGCTGACACACTCCAGCCACATGAGGTCTAGCATTGTCTTGCATTAGGAGGAACCCAGGGCCAACCGCACCAGCATATGGTCTCACAAGGGGTCTGAGGATCTCATCTCGGTACCTAATGGCAGTCAGGCTACCTCTGGCGAGCACATGGAAACGCCACCCCACACCATGACTGACCCACCGCCAAACCGGTCATGCTGGAGGATGTTGCAGGCAGCAGAACGTTCTCCACGGCGTCTCCAGACTCTGTCACGTCTGTCACGTGCTCAGTGTGAACCTGCTTTCATCTGTGAAGAGCACAGGGCGCCAGTGGCGAATTTGCCAATCTTGGTGTTCTCTGGCAAATGCCAAACGTCCTGCACGGTGTTGGGCTGTAAGCACAACCCCCACCTGTGGACGTCGGGCCCTCATACCACCCTCATGGAGTCTGTTTCTGACCGTTTGAGCAGACACATGCACATTTGTGGCCTGCTGGAGGTCATTTTGCAGGGCTCTGGCAGTGCTCCTCCTGCTCCTCCTCCACGTCTCCTGGTGTACTGGCCTGTCTCCTGGTAGCGCCTCCATGCTCTGGACACTACGCTGACAGACACAGCAAACCTTCTTGCCACAGCTCGGATTGATGTGCCATCCTGGATGAGCTGCACTACCTGAGCCACTTGTGTGGGTTGTAGACTCCGTCTCATGCTACCACTAGAGTGAAAGCACCGCCAGCATTCAAAAGTGACCAAAACATCAGCCAGGAAGCATAGGAACTGAGAAGTGGTCTGTGGTCACCACCACCAGAACCACTTATTTATTGGGGGTGTCTTGTTAATTGCCTATAATTTCCACCTGTTGTCTATTCCATTTGCACAACAGCATGTGAAATTTATTGTCAATCAGTGTTGCTTCCTAAGTGGACAGTTTGATTTCACAGAAGTGTGATTGACTTGGAGTTACATTGTGTTGTTTAAGTGTTCCCTTTATTTTTTTGAGCAGTGTATATCATTTTCATAGTCATGGCACACTTTCTTTAAGAGCTATTCAAGATTGAAATTCTTTTCTTTTCACAGAAAAAGAATTGTGGATTGTTCTCCATCCTCCTCTAATTCAGAATATAAAATGTTCATAGTTATGGCATGTTTTGTTCAATAGCTCCACCAAATATCCAATATAAAAGGAATTTTACCTCGGTATTCAACAGGCCTATGAGTGAATTGATTTCGTTTATAAGAAATAATAATAAACAGTATGTTTTGTTGTGTGAAAATGGTGGTGAAATTGCCATTAGATAACACACAATTGACTCGCATATCAGAGCATTAACATAAGCTAAATGAACACAGATACAATATCCCAATTGGAAAGGTACTGTAGGCTACATTGCGCTCTGCAATAGAGAGAAAGCGTGTCAATTTCTATGATTCGGCATTAATTGCTCTAATGTCTGATTATTGTAGAAGAGAATAATGTTTGATGGAACACAGTATCAATTTAGACTATCTACACAACGCCGTACATATTCTAACAGTCGGCTAATACCGAAAAAAACACAATAATAATCATTCACCTTTTCTTTCTGTAATCCTTCTCTTCTCTTTCTCTTTCGCGCGTCTGCCCACACAGGGGCCATATACTATCCGCCATGTTCCTCTCCTATTATTGGAAATTATACAGCAACAGGCTGGAGTGGTACACTGTGGTGGGATGATGTGAAAATGTACAATAAACCTGGACCGCATTTTACCGTCAACAAGTTCACAGTAACAGTTTATTTGTCAGGCAACCTATTTAGTCACTTTTTTTGTTTTGTCAGATAACCATTTTTTTTCCTCAATAATGTAACAGAGCTATATTACTGTATTATGTTTATTTGGCCTCTGTAGGGGTAGTCTATTGTCTGAAACATTGTTTTGATAACAGCGAATTAGATTATGTTTCAGAAATGAGCTGACCTTTTCAATAATGATACTGACCAATAAAACATTTTGTGTAGCCTAATAATAGTACACTAAAGGCTGCTCACACTGGGTGTATAGTAGATAGAAAACACAATAGTTAGACCAAAAAGGACCATGATAGCCACCATGAAAAAAGCATATTTAAAGAAAAATCTAATATTTTCAATGATGGTTTTATCAGAATTAAGTAATTTAGTGTGTGCAAGTTGAACACGATTGCATTCCGTTGTTGATTTCAGGATGGAAATATACTGTATGCCTGTCGAAGGTCAATTTCTCCATCTGGTGTTTAGATAAGGTACTGCATGTACACAGACGCCTGCAAAGCAGTTGTTCTTTCGTTAGTCAATTATAGTAGTTAGTTAGTTAGTTAGAGGATAACGATGACAATGTCCCTATTCAGAGCAGGCCTACTCTCCAGTATCACAAAACAAGCATGGGAGAGAAGGTAACCAGATGGGATCTGACTTGCAATGTTATACCTATAAAATATGCAATTTTGGTCAGAAGTTCAGCAATGTTTATTACAAGTTCTTCTGGAAAAATCATGGACTGATTGCTGAAGAAAATATGATTGACATAACTAGCCATCATAGTGCTGTAGGCTACTGTACCTCAACACATTTAGCTTGTCACTTTAAAAACAAAAGATCCAGCTCTTCAGGACAGCCCTGACTTTGTCCTGTCAGACCCCAACATGCAGCTGTTGGATGGGGCTTACAACAACCTTCACGACCGCCACCTATGGTCCTTCTACAGCCAGCATGACAGGCAGGCGAGGCTGGTTAAGGTCAAATCTATAGGTTTACCAAACGTTTAAGTGATCATCAATTAAGAGCATGTAGAGGTATTTTTAGATGAAACACTGATTAAGTTTGGTGAAAAAGTGACTATGATTTTGTGTGTTGTACTTAGTCAATTGAAAATGTGCTTAGAGTTTTGAAACAACTGCCTTTTTGATGATCTGTTTTGAGTTTTGTACTAAGAGTAAAAAAAAAACTGTATCTTACCCATTGTCACGACTTCCGCCGAGGCTGCCTCCCCTCCTTGTTCGGGCAGGCTTCGGCGTTCGTCGTCACCGGAGTATTAACCACTGCCGCCCCAATCATCATCACAATTGTCTTGTCTTGTTAATCACACACACCTGGTTATAATCCCCTAATTAGTCAATGTATAAGTGTTCCCTCTGCCCCCTTGTCCTTGTGGGTGATTGTTTGTTGTGGAGGTTAGTAGCTCAGTGGAGCTCTTGTATTTGGTATCGACAGGAGTATTTTTCCCGTGTGCCTTGTATTTTCCAGTGCACTTGTTTTGTGCCCTGGAGTGTGTTTGACGCATTTCTGCGCAAACCTGTATTTTTCGGATTAAAGCCTGTTTCTGTGATTTACCCTCCTGTGCCTGACCACCTTATCACACCCATAGACGTGCTGTATAATGCGATACAAAAACGGAATGTCTGACGTTTTGTGGCCTCCTCTGTAACTAGGTGCTCTGTTCCCAGAGTGTCAATTTGAGGTGACTGGGAGCCTTAGGTTACAACTAGCCCATATAATGTATTACTTTCTGCCACTGAGGGGAGCAGGTGCAGACAAACAGAAGCAGGAAAAGAGTTACAGACAGTGATGTGTAAGTAAAGTCATTGTCTTTGGTGCCTTGGTCCTTGACACACGCATTTGTGCACAGGTACTACAGTGGGGGAAAAAAGTATTTAGTCAGCCACCAATTGTGCAAGTTCTCCCACTTAAAAAGATGAGAGAGGCCTGTAATTTTCATCATAGGTACACGTCAACTATGACAGAAAATGGAGTAAAAAAATTCCAGAAAATCACATTGTAGGATTTTTAATGAATTTATTTGCAAATTATGGTGGAAAATAAGTATTTGGTCACCTACAAACAAGCAAGATTTCTGGCTGTCACAAACCTGTAACTTCTTCTTTAAGAGGCTCCTCTGTCCTCCACTCGTTACCTGTATTAATGGCACCTGTTTGAACTTGATATCAGTATAAAAGACACCTGTCCACAACCTCAAACAGTCACACTCCAAACTCCACTATGGCCAAGACCAAAGAGTTGTCAAAGGACACCAGAAACAAAATTGTAGACCTGCACCAGGCTGGGAAGACTGAATCTGCAATAGGTAAGCAGCTTGGTTTGAAGAAATCAACTGTGGGAGCAATTATTAGGAAATGGAAGACATACAAGACCACTGATAATCTCCCTCGATCTGGGGCTCCACGCAAGATCTCACCCCGTGGGGTCAAAATGATCACAAGAACGGTGAGCAAAAATCCCAGAACCACACGGGGGGACCTAGTGAATGACCTGCAGAGAGCTGGGACCAAAGTAACAAAGCCTACCATCAGTAACACACTACGCCGCCAGAGACTCAAATCCTGCAGTGCCAGACGTGTCCCCCTGCTTAAGCCAGTACATGTCAAGGCCCGTCTGAAGTTTGCTAGAGTGCATTTGGATGATCCAGAAGAGGATTGGGAGAATGTCATATGGTCAGATGAAACCAAAATAGAACTTTTTGGTAAAAACTCAACTCGTCGTGTTTGGAGGACAAAGAATGCTGAGTTGCATCCAAAGAACACCATACCTACTGTGAAGCATGGGGGTGGAAACATCATGCTTTGGGGCTGTTTTTCTGCAAAGGGACCAGGACGACTGATCCGTGTAAAGGAAAGAATGAATGGGGCCATGTATCGTGAGATTTTGAGTGAAAACCTCCTTCCATCAGCAAGGGCATTGAAGATGAAACGTGGCTGGGTCTTTCAGCATGACAATGATCCCAAACACACCGCCCGGGCAACGAAGGAGTGACTTCGTAAGAAGCATTTCAAGGTCCTGGAGTGGCCTAGCCAGTCTCCAGATCTCAACCCCATAGAAAATCTTTGGAGGGAGTTGAAAGTCCGTGTTGCCCAGCGACAGCCCCAAAACATCACTGCTCTAGAGGAGATCTGCATGGAGGAATGGGCCAAAATACCAGCAACAGTGTGTGAAAACCTTGTGAAGACTTCCAGAAAACGCTTGACCTGTGTCATTGCCAACAAAGGGTATATAACAAAGTATTGAGAAACTTTTGTTATTGACCAAATACTTATTTTCCACCATAATTTGCAAATAAATTCATTAAAAATCCTACAATCATTTTGTCTGTCATAGTTGACGTGTACCTAATGATGAAAATTACAGGCCTCTCTCATCTTTTTAAGTGGGAGAACTTGCACAATTGGTGGCTGATTAAATACTTTTTTCCCCCACTGTATATAGCACAAACCTACACATGGCTCCTCATCTTCTCCAGACTCTCAGGTAAGGGTAACATATTTCTCTGAAGTGATTGTGCTCCATGAAGTTAGGGACATGCTGACATTGAAGACAGGAGCAGCAGGTGGATTCTCTTGGTTTCATACAAGGGAGTTGTATCTAGGGAGTTGTACACTGTGGCCCTGTTCGACAATACCCCCGGACAGGGCCAACCAGGCAGGATATAACCCCACCCACTATACCAAACCCCCACACCACTCAAGGGATATCAACAGATCACCAACTTAGTATAGATCATGAAGATCTCCTCCACCGAAACAAGCCAGGGTCAAGGTAAGACCGGACAGGAAGATCACGTCAATGACTCAACCCACTCAAGTCGAGTATAGCGAAAAAAGCCTGGCACGACGTGACGCACCTCTCCTAGGGACGGCATGGAAAAGCACTAGTAAGCCGGTGACTCAGCCACCGTAATAGGGTCAGAGGCAGAGAATCCCAGTGGAGAGAGGGGAGCTGGCCAGGCAGAGACAGCAAGGGCGGTTCATCACTCCAGTGCCTTGCCATTCACCTTTGCACCCCTGGGCCAGACTACATTCAATCATAGGAACTACTGAAGCGATGAGTCTTCAGTTAAGACTTAAAGGTTGAGATTAACATGGATAGGCAGACATGGATAGGCAGACCATTCCATGAAAAATAGAACTCTGTAGGAGAAAGCCCTGCCTCCAGCTGTTTGCTTAGAAATTCTAGGGACAATAAGGAGGCCTGCGTCTTGTGACCATAGCGTACGTGTAGGTATGTACGGCAGGACCAAATCGGAGAGATATGTAGGAGCAAATCCATTTAGTGCTTTGTAGGTTAGCAGTAAATACTTTAAGTCAGCCCTAGCCTTAACAGGAAGCCAGTGTAGAGAGGCTAGCACAGGAGTAATATGATCAAATGTTTTGGTTCTAGTCAAGATTCTAGCAGCTAACTGCAGTTTATTTTGTGCTTTATCCGGGTAGCCGGAGGGTAGAGCATTGCAGTTGTCTAATCTAGAGTGACAAAAGCATGGATTATCTTTTCTGCATAATTTATGGACAAAATAATTCAGATTTTTGCAATGTTACGAAGATGAAAAAAAGCTGTCCTTGAAATATTATTGATATGTTCGTCAAAAGAGAGATCAGAGTCCAGAGTAACGCCGAGGTCCTTCTCAGTTTTATTTGAGACGACGATACAACCATCAAGGTTAATTGTCAGATCATACAGCAGATCTCTTTGCTTCTTGGGACCTAGAACTAGGATCTGTCTTTTGTCCGAGTTTAAAAGTAAAACATTTGCCACCATCCACTTCCTTATGTCTGAAACACAGGCTTCCAGGGCAGGCAATTTGAGGCTACACCACGTTTCATCGAAATGTACAGCTGCGTGTCTTCCGAATAGAAGTGAATGTTGACATTGTGTTTCCGAACGACATCACCAAGAGGTAGAATATATAGTGAAACAATAAACGGAACATTGAGGAAAACTGAAATTGATTTGTCAGAGGACCAACCATCTACAGAGGCGAACTGATATCTTTCTGACAGATAAGATCTAAACCAGGCAAGAACTTGTCCGTGTAGATTATGGTTTCCAATCTCTCCAAAAGAATGTGGTGATCGATGGTGTCAAAAGCAGCACTAAGGTCTAGGAGCACGAGGACAGATGCAGAGCATTGGTCTGATGCCATTAAAAGGTCATTTACCACCTTCACAAGTGCAGTACCATGATGGGGTCTAAAACCAGACTGGAGCATTTCGTATACATTATTTGTCTTCGGGAAGGCAGTGAGTTGCTCTGCAACAGCTTTTTCTAACATTGTTGAGAGGAATGGGAGATTCGATATAGGCCGATTAGTTTTTAAAAATGTCTGGGTCATGGTTTGGCTTTTTCAGGAGAGGCTTTATTACTGCCACTTTTAGTGAGTTTGGTACACATCCAGAGGATAGGGAGCCTTTTATGTTCAACATAGGAGGGCCAAGCACAGGAAGTAGCTCTTTCAGTAGTTTAGTTGGAGGGTCCAGTAGGCATCTGGAAGGTTTAGAGGCCATGACTATTTTTGTGAATGTGTCGAGAGATAAGGGAAAAACTTGAGTGTCTCCATTGATCCTTGAGTGTCTCCATTGTTCATGAATTCATCACTGCTGAAGTGAAGGCCATCATCTCTTGGGGAATGCTGCTTTTTAGTTAGCTTTGCGATAGTATCAACATTTTGCATTGTTTTTATTCTCCTCAATTAGGTTGGGAAAGTAGGCTGATCGAGCAGCAGTGAGGGCTCTTCGATATTGCATGGTATTGTCATTCCAAGCTAGTCGGAAGACTTCCAGTTTGGTGGAACGCCATTTCCGTTCCAATTTTCTGGAAGCTTGCTTCAGGGCTCGGGTATTTTTTGTATACCAGGGAGCTAATTTCTTGTGACAAATGTTATTTCTTTTTAGAGATGCAACTGCATCTAGGGTATTACGCAAGGTTAAATGTAGATCCTCGGTTAGGTGGTTAGCTGATTTTTGTACTCCAACGTCCTTGGGTAGGTGGAGGGAGTCTGGAAGGGCATCTAGGAATCTTTGGGTTGTCCGAGAATTTATTACGCGGCTTTTGATAATCCTTGGTTGGGGTCTGAGCAGATTATTTGTTGCGATTGCAAACATAATAAAATGGTGGTCCGATAGTCCAGGATTATGAGGAAAAACATTTAGATCCACAATATTTATTCCACAAGACAAAACTAGATCGAGGGTATGACTGTGGCAATGCGTAGGTCCGGAGACATGTTGGACAAAACCCACTGAGTCGATGATGGCTCCGAAAGCCTTTTGGAGTGGGTCTGTGGTCTTTTCCATGTGAATATTAAAGTCACCATGAATTAGAATATTATCTGCCATGACTACATGGTCCGATAGGAATTCAGGGAACTCAGTGAGGAACGCTGTATATGGCCCAGGACGCCTGTAAACAGTAGCTATAGAAAGTTATTGAGTAGGCTGCATAGATTTCATGACTAGAAGCTCAAAAGACGAAAACCCAGTCTCTTTTTTGTAAATTGAAATCTGCTGTCATAAATGTTAGCAACACCTCCGCCTTTGCGGGATGCACGGGGGATATTTTGAGATGTGATGTATTATCACAATCTCTTTATTTATTATATTATTTTTACCCCCTTTTTCTCCCCAATTTCGATCAAATTACGATCTTGTCTCATCGCTGCAACTCCCCAATGGGCTCGGGAGAGATGAAGGTCGAGTCATGCGTTTTCCAAAACATGACCCACCAAACCGCGCTTCTTAACACCCGCCTGCTTAACCCGGAAGCCAGCTGCACCAATGTGTTGGAGGAAACACCGATCACTGAAGTCCCCCTGCAGGCGCCTGACCCGCCACAAGGAGTCGCTAGAGCGCGATGAGCCAAGTAAAGCCCCCCCTGCCAAACCCGCCCCTAACCCGGACGACGCTGGGCCAATTGTGCGCCGCCCTATGGGACTCCCGGTCACGGCCGGTTGTGACACAGCCTTGGGATCGAACCCGATTGCGCCACTCGGGAGGCGCTATCACAATCTCTTTCAATAATGATAGGAATGGAGGAGGTCTTTATTCCAGTGAGATTGCTAAGGCGAACATCGCCATGTTTAGTTTTGCCCGACCTATAACGAGGCACAGTCATCGTCTCAATGGGGAAAGCTGAGCTGACTACACTGACTCTGCTAGTGCCAGACTCCACTAAGCTCCACTTTTCTGTGCACAAATATGAAAAGATAGATGGTATCATCATACAACAATATAAATTTAAATCATACAAGGGACAAACCTTACCTTAAATTTAGGAGATCTTTTCAGTTAAGTGCCTTCACCTGCTGTCCTTTCAAATTCAAATCCAAATGATTCAGTTGGGCAGTTAGGTTCCTGCAAGAACCCCCACCAACTAAGGAGGTTCCTCGATGTACCCCACCTCCAAAGAACTTTGAGGATCTTAGAAGAACCCTTGTTGAACCCCTAATTTTTAGAGTGTATCCACGTCGGCACACGGTGTTAGGATGAAACAGTCAGAGGTCACCAAGCGCAACATAAATTCAACGTGTAACTTAGCTAGAAAGATGTGTTGGCATCGGAGTAATTGTCTCTGCACTCAAGAAATGTGGGGTTCAACAAGGGTTCTTCTAAGAAGAACTTATAGGGGTCCCCCACAGTTTCAATTTGAAGAGCCCCTAAAGTATACTCCAGGAACCTTTTCTTTTTAGAGTGTAACAATATCCCTATACAATCTATACTCACCAGTTTTAGCCTCAGCCCGCACCATCTTCAGGTTAGCCTTTACACTGTTAGCCCTGCCCCCAGGATGATTATTTTAAAGTCTAATATTGCGGGTAATGGAGTCGCCAATGACTAGGGTTTTCAATTTATCAGAGCTAATGGTGGGAGGCTTCGGCGGCTCAGACCCCGTAATGGGTGGAGGAGAGACCTGAGAAGGCTCTGACTCCGACTTGTTGCTTAGTGGGAAAAATCGGTTGAACGTTTCTATAGGCTGAATGAGCTACACCACCGGTTGAGCACACGAAAATTGTCCGGCTGCAGGGACTGTGCAGGGGGATTAACACTACTACCTGTGGCACAGACGCGTCCTTTACTACACTTGACATACCCAAATCTGACTGCCTGTAGCTCAGGACCTGAAGCAAGGATATGCATATTCTTGATATCATTTGAAAGAAAACTGTGAAGTTTGTGGAAATTTGAAATTAATGTAGGAGAATAATACATATTAGATCTGGTGAAAAGATAATACAAACAAAAAAACATGCGTTTTCTAATTATTATTTTTTTGCATCATCTTTGAAATACAAGAGAAAGGCCAGACAGTGATGTAGGATTCTAGGTGTAATTTAGATGTTGTCCACCAGACGGCAGCAGTGTGTCTGCAAAGTTTCAGACTGATCCAGTGAAGAATTACATCATTACACAATATGTTGTATTAAGTCTGCCAAGAGTTTTCCCAAATGTGCCGAATTGGTTTTCAAGTACATAACTATAGAGAACATACAAAAAGGTATTGGTAATACAAAATGTACGTTTGCACACATTAGCTTCCCTACAGAAAATACACTAACCTTCACACATCTAGATGGCCGGGCGGGGTGGGTGTGGAGTCAGAGGTCAAACTGTAGGACCCAGTTCCTACATTTGAATATAAAAATTGATTTTTCAAACAAAACTACACTACATTTTATCACTGGGACCCTCAGGATGACAAATCAGTGCAAGATGACTGAATGTAAGTACATTATTTACCTTCAGAGGTGAATGTACCAAACCAGTTGCCGTGATAAAAGTATTTTGTTGTTGTGCACTCTCCTCAAACAATAGCTTGGTATTTTTTCACTGTAATAGCTACTGTAAATTGGACACTGCAGTTATATTAACAAGAATGTAAGCTTTCTGCCCATATAAGACATGTCTATGTCCTGGGAAAGTTGGCTGTTGTTTACAACACCGTTCTAGTCGCATATCGCATATTGAGCAACAACCGTCCCGTATAAGGGACACCGATCCCGTAGAGGTTAAATTGCCCTTGCCTAACAATTGCATCTGAAGCCAAGCTTGCAACTAGGCTATCCTCACAATAAATAATATAATAATATGCCATTTAGCAGACGCTTTTATCCAAAGCGACTTACAGTCATGTGTGTAAATTTTTACGTATGGGTGGTCCCGGGGATTGAACCCACTACTGTGGCGTTACAAGCGCCATGCTCTACCAATTGAGCTACAGAGGACCACCAATACGGTGATAGTTATCCTGTATATTAAGAGTACAGCGACTGCAATGAGAAGGCATAATGTTACTTTGCTTAATTTTTTTCGGCCGGATGAGGTGCAGATCTGTGTTCAGATAAAGCATCCGGGGTGAAAAAGTTGAATTAAAAAAGTTGTGTGAGGACAAAACTAAGATCTTACAATAGTTTAAAGGAATCCCACAGTCGTCGTCTTACTCTGTGTGTGTGTTGCCAACCTGGTGCTGCAGCAGACGGTGGAGAGGGTTCACGCATGGAAGCGGTACGGAGACATCGCCCGAGGAATCTTCATCATCAGGGGAGATAACTTGTCCTCCTGTGGGAGATTGTAAGTATGCCACACACACAAACAAACACACACACACGCACAAACACACACACACACACACACACACACACACACACACACACACACACACACACACACACACACACACAGACACACACACACACAGTGGTGTACAGTACTTAAATAAAAATAGTTTTTTGGGGTATCTTTACTTTACTATTTACATTTTTGACAACTTTTACTTTTACTTCACTACATTCCTAAAGAAAATTATGTACTTTTTACTCCATACATTTTATCTGACACTCTAAAGTACTCGTTACATTTTGAATGCTTAGCAGGACAGGAAAATTGTCAAATTCATGCACTTATCAAGAGAACATCCCTGGTCATCCCTACTGCCTCTGATCTGGCGGACTCACTAAACACATGCTTTGTTTGTAAATATGTCTGAGTGTTGGAGTGTGCCCCTGGCTATCCGTAAATAAAAAAACAAGAAAATGGTGTCGTCTGGTTTGCTTTATATATGGAATTTGAAATTATTTATACTTGTACTTTTACTTTTGATACTTAAGTATATTTAAAACCAAATACTTTTAGACTTTTACTCAAGTAGTATTTTACTGGGTGACTTTCACTTTTACTTGAGTCATTTTCTGTTAAAGTATCTTTACTTTTACTCAAGTATGACAATTGGGTACTTTTTCCACCACTGCGCACACACACACACACACACACACACACACACACACACACACACACACACACACACACAGGGCTTGCCCTAGCCTTTTGGGAACCCTAAGCAACATTTTGTTGAGGGGCAAGTTTGCTGCAATTCTACACATTTTGCCAAGGGCCGGAGAGAAGATTTTGAAAATGTATAACTAATTTCATGCAATCATCCTCATTTTGCCATAGCGTGGAGATACATTTTTGCAGTTTCAAAGCTAATTTCCTTCTCATTTCCGTTCATGACTGTTAATATGATATCTGAGTGAGAGTGACTAACACAATCAACGGGGGCCCCCTGTAGGTCTGGGCCCCTTGGCACGTGCCCTTTGTGTCCAGTCGATAATTCGACCACGATTACTACAAGTTATAGCTGTGTAGCCTAATTTACCAATCAAAAGTTTGTTTGCTGACATGGGCTAATTGAGTGACTGTCGGTGACTGACATAACAAGAGAAAAACTGCTGATGCCCGATAGGGTTGGGCCATATCAACCTTTGTCTTATCGTGATTAAGTACCCATAAAACATTGTGATATACGATGGTATCACCCCCTATTGGCCAACCAATTATTATCAAAATATAATTAAAAAAGATAGTTAAAAAGGAGCTCGCATGCTACGGGAGGGACGAGAGGAATCATGACAAAATAGAGACGCACAAGTGACAGTCAAGGAGCCTCACTGTGCGTCGTGTGATGGGTTGTAAATCATCAAGGGCCCAGCTGCAGAGCACAAACTCTGCTGTCTCCAGAACTGGATCATTATTCAATGATTTGCATTTTTGCCCAATCTTCCTCTCTTATTAATCTTGTTCTTAACTCTAAATTCCATTCTGTAACCCATTAAAAAGGGTGCTTGGAACTAAAAATAGATTTTTGTTTTGTATGATACCCATCAAAGACGAGACTGGCAAGGCCACCTCCAAGGCGATGATTGACATCTTCATCCCCCACGGTTCTCCTGAGGTCATCTTTAGTGACCGAGGTTGTGAACTCTGGAACAAGGTATGGATGTTATAGGTTATACCAATGGTTTGTTTGTTTTTGTTTTTCCATGGTACATAATCAGACATATTTCAATATCTTACATTGTCAATAGATATCCCTTTCCTACCCCCTCCTCCAGGTTTGGATGAACGGACCAACCAGACCCTCAAGACTGCCATGGGCAAGTCCCTTGACGGGTACCAGGAACAGTGGGAGGACAACTTGAAGGTAATTATCTTTGCACACAACAGCAGCGTCCAGGCCTCCACGAGTACTCGCCCTATTGCCTGTTGTACGGATAGGAGCCGCAGCTGTTGACTGAGGTAAACAATGCAATTGTATATATATTTATTGCATATACTGTAGTCTTTAAAATGTGTGATTGACTTAGTGTTGTTGTTTGTCTATTGCCATTTTTGTATAACGTACTTTCAGATCACTGAAACTCCACCTGATGTGGTGGAAGTTGTCGAACCAGATCAGAACGCCTTCGAGGACCACTTTCAGGCACGGGCTGAGAAGGATGTGGAGGTTTTTGAACAGGTAAAAATTGTTGTCCGCTGTAAGAAATGTATTTGTAATAATATGAAATATAATTGCATTTATTTCTGTTATCACTCAAGGTGAGACTGAACATCGACAAAGCACAGGAGAAATAGAAGGAGAGCTACCGGAGGAGAATCAAGAAGGGGACCAAGTGCTTCGACATCCGGGCGAATGACTTGATTTGGAAGAAGGACGAAAGGAAGGCGAGACCTGGGAAACCTCACTGCTCTTTCGCTCCTAGCTGGGGTCACCATACGTTAAGGTGAATATAAAAATCTCAGATAATAACTATTTGCATTTGCACACAAAATAACCTGAAGATAGTTTTAGTATTTTTCTCTTTGTCTTCCTAGGGTTACCTCAGTGGAAGCCAACAATCTTCTACAGTTAGAGCAGTTGGACGGTCGACCACTGAAAGGCCCTGACGCCCTACACTTCGGTGAAGCCCATGAGACGAAGTATGTTAAGCTTTGGTTGACATTTGAGAAAGCAAGAAATTGTCAGTATGCATAGCTTATAAAAATTTACCTCTTCAATTTACCTCTCCAAATGACTTTAGGACCATCAACTGTCTGAGCCACCCAGGAGGTATCCCATCCAACAGAGCCAGTGCGTTTGGATCAGTCTGATTCTTTGTGCTCTGAGTCGGAGGGCGACCAGCTTGAGGTAGGCTATACCTTCAAAATCTGTTGAAAAGTACACATCTCCCATTTATAACACTGCACTAATCCATCACATTTTCTCACAGTAAAATATAACCTGTGTGTTTGCTTGTTTACGTCTCTGTCTCCTACCCTGTTCCCTTTAACTCTGCTTCTGTTCTCCAGGACCTAGGGGTTCTGTCCAACACCCAGACGTGGATCCACCTGATGTCCTCCTTTACCAACCACCCTCCAACTTTTCATTACATCATCTACAGCTACTGTTATTGTCATGTTGTCATTATCTGCTAAGAAAGTGTTCTTGCTCTATCATACTGGGCACATAATGTGAGATACACAGATGAACTAAAAACACTAGCACTGCAAACACTCAGAACAAAGAGAGCAGCTGTGCCTGGACTTTGAAGTCTCCCTCTTCAAGTCCTCCTTCCACTTCCTCTTTATTCCACACACCAGAATTCAGTATTTCAGTCTATGATTGCCATGTGAGTGTACAAAAAAATCGTTTAGATATTTAAATCTTAAATATTGCCAGGTTGGTTTTCACAGCTGTTTCACAAGGTGTTCATTGTTGTAAATTGTAAGGTATCCCTTTATGGTATTTGTTACTGCAACATTATTCATTCACCTACAATAGATACATACAGTGCATTCGGAAAGTATTCAGACCCCTTCCCTTTTTCCAAATGTTGTTACGTTACAGCCTTATTCAAAAATGGATTACAGAAAAAAAAAGTCCTCAGCAACCTACACACAATACCCCATAATGACAAAGTGAAAACAGGGTTTTAGACAATTTTGCAAATGTATTAAAAATAAAAATCAGAAATACCTTATTTACATAAGTATTCAGACCCTTTGCTTTGAGACTCGAAATTGAGCTCAGGTGCATCCTGTTTCCATTGATCATCCTTGAGATGTTTCTACAACTTGATTGGAGTCCATCTGTGGTAAATTCAATTGATTGGACATGATTTGGAAAGGCACACACCTGTCTATATAAGGTCCCACAGTTGACAGTGCATGTCAGAGCAAAAACCAAGCCATGAGGTTGAAGGAATTGTCTTTAGAGCTCCGAGACAGGATTGTGTCGAGGCACAGGTCTGCGGAAGGGTACCAAAAAAATGTCTGCAGCATTGAAGGTCCCCAAGAACACAGTGGGACTGGGAGACTAGTCAGGATCGAGGAAAAGATGAACAGAGCAAAGTACAGAGAGATACTTGATGAAAACCTGCTCCAGGGCGCTCAGGATATCCTTGAGTGGCCAAGCCAGAGCCTGGACTTGAACCCGATCAAAAATCTGAGGAGAGATCTGAAAATAGCTGTGCAGCAACATTCCCCCATCCAACTACAGAGAAGAATGGGAGAAACTCCCCAAATACAGGTGTGCCAAGCTTGTAGCGTCATACCCAAGACGACTCGAGGCTGTAATCGCTGCCAAAGGTGCTTCAACAAAGTACTGAGTAAAGGGTCTGAATACTTATGTAAATGTTATATTTCCGTTTTTTATTTTTTTATAAATTTGCTAAAATTTCTACAAACCTGTTTTTGCTTTGTCATTATGGGGTATTGTGAGGGTGAAAAAACAATTTAATCCATTTTAGAAGAAGGCTGTAACGTAACAAAATGTGGACAAAGTCAAGGGGTCTGAATACTTTCCGAATGCACTGTATATATTCAACCACAAGGGTGTACTAATGAGCTATGCGAGATAGAAAAACAATTCAGTGTAGATAAGGGAAGGGCAGCTTAAAATAAAAACATGGCAGCCAGACAAGCCAGTGTATGAATGAAATGGATTTGCGTATGAATGGAGTGGAAGTGGGGGCGGCAGGTAGCTTAGTGGGTAAGAGCGTTGTGCCAGTAACCGAAAGGTCGCTGGTTCTAATCCCCGAGCCGACTAGGTGAAAAATCTGTCGATGTGCCCTTGAGCAAGGCACTTAACCCTAATTGCTCCTGTAAGTCGCTCTGGATAAGAGCGTCTGCTAAATGACTAAAATGTAAATGTAAATGGAAAGGAGCTCTTTGTGATCTGTAAGGTAAGTAACATTAATGTGTCAAGTAGATTACACGTTTTCTTTGCTATTTCCTAAACGTAGCAATGTTTAAGACATGGATTTCATGTTGAAATGTTAACAAGGTACAAAAGCAGTTTGAAGTAATGTTTTCATCTTATTAGATAAACTCAAATTTAAACAGCGATTTTGTCGCGGAAATCAGCTTTGTTTGCACAGCGGGGATGAAAAGAACGCCATTTAGGCTGTAATGATATCCACAATTCAACGCCTTACGTCATCACACCGTTGATATAGCAACGGACGCTAAAGGTTTATCAAATCCCATTGGGACACGGGGGGGACACTTTTTGGCTGGGGGACATTATTTGGCATGACAGGCCCCCTAGTGGCTTATGCCCAGGGCCGGCCCTGCACACACGAGAGTCCCTCATTGGTCCGTTTTTTGGAGCCGCACCCGCCCCATGCCGGCCACATCAATTCTGAGCCCCACCCGGTATCAGACATCAGGACAGATTTTTCTCCACAACCCGACCCGACCCACCTGCATATAATTGTTCCCGAGAGCCGGTCCGTGACCCACCAAATAACATCAATTCATATAATTGTTCTTATAACCCCAGAGTAATAGGCTATTATTCCCCTCCCTGCATTAATTATTTTTTCTGCATGACTATTCATTATTTGGACAAAAGGAAACCATGCCATTCATTATTTTTACAATGAGATGCGGCGTCACATTGACAACTCAAATCGCTATGAAACCAAGGGCCTTCTAATTAGCCTTCTTACCTAATGAAAGCCTATAGCTGACATAACAAAACCAGACCTTTACATGCAATATTGTTTAGATAATCAAATAGTTTAATTGAAACTTAAATAAACCACTATTCCCACAATCAAATATAACTTTTAGCATACCAGCATACCGGTTTAAACTTGATATGGCCTGCATGGTCTAAATCAGTGGTGCTCAAACCTCTCCTCGGGGATCCTCAGCCGTTCCATGTGTTTGATATATTCCAGAGCAAGCACACCTGATTCTACTTGCCAACTAATCATCAAGCCTTTGACTAACTAGGTCAATCAGGTGAACTACTTCAGGGCTACAACAAAATTGTTAAACGGCTACAACAAAATTGTGAAAGGGGGTCACCGAGGAGAGGTTTGAGAAACACTGGTTTAAATGAACGAAAGCCTGAATTAACGTAATAATAAGCTGTTAATAAACATATTCCTGCTTGCACTTTTAGTAACACTTTACTTGACACCCAGCGTCATAACACGTTATGACATGGCCATAACCATGTCATAATATGTCTAAACAGCTGACATAACGTATTTTATGGCTGGTTATGACACCTAAATAAGAGTGTAAAAACCCACAAAACCTACCACAGTAGTTATTTTATTTCTGGTTATGTCACCCACATAAGAGTTTCAAAACCCACAAAATCTACCACACAATGCAAAACATTCCATTACACCATAGCCTATGTGTCAACAGTATGTTTGTTAGATATACACTACCAGTCAAAGGTTTGGACACACTTACTCATTCAAGGGTTTTTCTTATTTTTTTTACAATTTATAACATTGTAGAATAATAGTGAAGACTTCAAAACTATGAAATAACACATATGGAATCATGTAGTAACCAAAAAAGTGTTAAACAAATCAAAATATAGAGTGGCGTGCAAAGCGCAGGGAGGGAATCACATTTGGCCACCTCTTTTTATTTTATTTCAAGAGCGCCTAGTCTTGCTGCTGGCACTCATTTTGTCATTACATGTTTTTCTGCTTAGAAAAACGAGACAACAGTAACTTCTCTCAATGCCCAGAAAGGTTAGCCTTCTTAAAGCCAATGTATGCTTGCTCTGGAAATGTGATCCAGAGGCTCAGAGCGGTGTGTGTGATGCAATTGCTGGGTCTTGGAAGGCTAGCAGAGACCAAATCGAGCTCCGTAACGGATGCCCGCGCGCCTCCAAAATGTTGTAACAATGTGGATAGCTCTGTATTGCTTTGCATTGACATGATTGGTTGCCGGTAGGTGGTGGCGGGAGGCCCTGTATAAACACAAACTCACTTCCTTGACAACGTCCTTCACAACAGCTCTGCTCCAGGAAGCTCAAGAAGTATGAATGCCCTGACTTCTGCAGAGGCCATATCACAGTAAATGCTGTACAGCTACTGCAGATGTCAGATTGACCATGCAGAGCCTTTTAGCCTATAGCCTGGGTCTGTTGCAGGTGGCTTGTGACCGTTTAAAGTCACAAGCCACCTGTGACTACCACTTGTTTGGCTACAATTTAACATCTGTAAAATCTAGGGTAAAATGGGTGCTTTAGCATTGTAACAATGTAGCACAGTGTGAACAGACCCTACTGTGACATTAACATTCAGATACAGATTAAACAGAAAAAACAAAGATGTGAAGCTGTTTCCAGGGTGACTGATAAAGAGATGAGTGTGCAAAGCTGTCATCAAGGTAAAGGGTGGCTATTTGAAGAATCTCAAATATAAAATATATTTTGATTTGTTTAACACTTTTTTTTGTCCATACTTTTGACTGGTTCTGTAAATATATTTTTTATTATCATTTTTTAAAATTATCATTGTAATTGTGCACACATTAACGTCAGACATGCACCTACCCCAATACTCTGTTGCTGATGACTGGGATGAATGCAGGAGCAGATTTCAGGAGCTGGACAAGACACCCTCTTTTTGACTGATGACTGATATAAGGGCCTGTACGTGATAGGCCTATCTGGTGTATATGATTATGATGGTCATAATGCTTCTTGACAGTGTTATAAAGTGTATTTTCTTAGCCAAGTAAAGTGATTCAGGATGATCATAATGCTTCATGACAGTGTATTTTCTACAAGTTATTTAAAATATGATGAAAAAAGCATGACTGAATTCATTACAACAAAAACAAAGGATTGAAGAGACATACTTTCAAACAAAAGGAAACTTCTTGGCAGGGAAAAAACTAATTTGAATAAATGTTGGTTTTGACACTCTTATGTAGGTGTCATAACCAGCCATAAAATAATGCAATATAGTTCACAACAGGTGTAAATGTATGGGTCATGACAGTGTTATGACCATATTATGACAGGTTATGACAAGTTATGTCACTAGATGTCAAGTGTTACCGCACTTTTTGCTGGCTGTGTATCCATCTACCGGGTTGTAGTCCTTGTCCACAATGACTCCAAAATCCTTCCAAACCAAACCAGGGATTTCACTTGTGCAGCACCTGTTTCCATGATGGTGTATTTCATAACCTTTTCTTTTATATCTCCGGTTATGCCGACGTAAGCCATTTTCACATAAGCTAGGCTAGCCAGGAAAGTACACTTGGCAACATATTCTCACGTGGGGGGATGAAACAAGTTTCAGCACCACACAAATAATGGATATTTCCCTGATCTACTGCGTGCATGTCAGGTAGCCTACAGTGTCAAATCAAATCAAATCAAAATGTATTGGCCACATGCGCCGAATACAACAGGTGCAGACATTACAGTGAAATGCTTACTTACAGCCCTTACCCAACAGTGCATTTATTTTTAATAAAAAAGTAAAATAAAACAACAAAAAAGTGTTGAGAAAAAAAGAGCAGAAGTAAAATAAAATAACAGTAGGGAGGCTATATATACAGGGGGGTACCGGTGCAGAGTCAATGTGCGGGGGCACCGGCTAGTTGAGGTAGTTGAAGTAATATGTACATGTGGGTAGAGTTAAAGTGACTATGCATAAATCATTAACAGAGTAGCAGCAGTATATGTCTGTCTCATCGCTCACAGAATGGAATTCGCAACCCAATGCAACACAACAAGCTCCTGGGTTTGTAAAAAACGTTTCCGACCAGCAATATAATTGTTCTGAACCGTGAGCTGACCCGTCATTCCACCCGTCAGCTGATTGTTTTATTTTGAGGGAATCTGACCCGATGCAGGACACACACACACACAGATGTCTGAGGGTGTGTGTGTGTTCCTGTGCTGTGTAGGACCTTGAGAAGGAGAGTGACACCAGTCTGCAGCAGGTGTGTATTGAGGATATCCTGGAGGAGCAGCGGCTGCAGCAGCAGACAAGGCAGAAGGGGGAGAAGACCAAGCACCTGGCCCTGAAGGAGAAAGGCCATGCCCCGACCAGACATCATGGACGAATACTGAGTACAACACGAATACTGACAAATACACGCAGATACACACGCAGAAACACACACACACACACACAGACAATAGATAATAGATAATGATCCTAGCTCACCATCTTTACTTTATCTCTGAGAGTGTATCCCCAACGTACTGTACACCTTATGACAAAATACCTTATTTCACATTGAGTTTTATATTATGTTTCCCTAAGAGTATCATGGCACTGACATAAATGTACAGTATTTTGTTTTAACCATTCTTTTAAATTGGTTTGTGAGTGTAATGTGAGCAAAATTTGGATTTGTACAGTAGTGGGCCCCGTGTAGCTCAGTTGGTAGAGCATGGCGCTTGCAACGCCAGGGTTGTGGGTTTGTTTCCCACGGGGGGCCAGTATGAAAAATGTATGCACTAACTGTAAGTCGCTCTGGATAAGAGCGTCTGCTAAATGACTAAAATGTAATGAAAAGATGATTAATCAAAGTTGTACATCTCTGGAAAGGCCTTTGTTGTATTAAACATGTTGGTTGTACCTGATTTTGTTTGTAGTTAAACTGTAGTTTAAGTTGAGTAGCTAGGCCTATTGGATCTGCCAGTCCAAGATGTGGGGTGCGTTCAGTACAGAGTTCAACATTTAATTCAACAGAAAAGGTACTGAATGACCAGTTGAAGAACGGCGTGGGATTATGATGGCCCTGTGGGAGATAGTGTATGGCCCAGTGGGAGATAGTGTATGGCCCAGTGGGAGATAGTGTATGGCCCAGTGGGAGATAGTGTATGGCGTGTGCTGCACGAGTTTTGCGATTTCAAATGGTCACACTGATCAGGCCACACCTCTCCACACCCACCAAATGGGAGCAAACATACCTCAAAGGCAACTAACAACGAGATAACTAATAATGTAAGCATACTGTGTCCATGATAAGTATATAGGTTGTAGGTTGGGAGCTTTTGTGAAAGAGCATAGTTAGAAAGATATGGCATATAGAAGCAAACCGGATGGACATCATGAAAATGATCGGAGAGGTTGAGAGTAGAAGAAGTTCAGGAGAAAAAACAAGCAAAATATAATTATTGTAAAATTGACTGTGTCCATAAAATGCATAGAGTAAGCATAAGATGGAAGTAGAGGCCTAAGCATTGTTGTTCACTAGTTTTCTCCAATTAGGGAAAGGGTGGTGGGGTTGGAAAGTAATAAAGGGGAATATATATTTTTTAAAGGATATGTATGTGTATGTATGTTTGTATGTATGTATGTATGTATGTATGTATGTATGTATGTATGTATGTATGTATGTATGTATGTATGTATGTATGTATGTATGTATGTATGTATGTATGTATGTATGTATGTATGTATATGTGTATGTGTGTATACAGTGAGGGAAAAAAGTATTTGATCCCCTGCTGATTTTGTACGTTTGCCCACTGACAAATAAATTATCAGTCTATAATTTTAATGGTAGGTTTATTTGAACAGTGAGAGACAGAATAACAACAACAAAATCCAGAAAAATGCATGTCAAAAATGTTATAAATTGATTTGCATTTTAATGAGGGAAATAAGTATTTGACCCCCTCTCAATCAGAAAGATTTCTGGCTCCCAGGTGTCTTTTATACAGGTAATGAGCTGAGATTCAGAGCACACTCTTAAAGGGAGTGCTCCTAATCTCAGCTTGTTACCTGTATAAAGGACACCTGTCCACAGAAGCAATCAATCAATCAGATTCCAAACTCTCCACCATGGCCAAGACCAAAGAGCTCTCCAAGGATGTCAGGGACAAGATTGTAGACCTACACAAGGCTGGAATGGGCTACAAGACCATCGCCAAGCAGCTTGGTGAGAAGGTGACAACAGTTGGTGCGATTATTCGCAAATGGAAGAAACACAAAATAACTGTCAATCTCCCTCGGCCTGGGGCTCCATGCAAGATCTCACCTCGTGGAGTTGCAATGATCATGAGAACGGTGAGGAATCAGCCCAGAACTACACGGGAGGATCTAGTCAATGATCTCAAGGCAGCTGGGACCATAGTCACCAAGAAAACAATTGGTAACACACTATGCCGTGAAGGACTGAAATCCTGCAGCGCCCGCAAGGTCCCCCTGCGTCTGAAGTTTGCCAATGAACATCTGAATGATTTAGAGGAGAACTGGGTGAAAGTGTTGTGGTCAGATGAGACCAAAATGGAGCTCTTTGGCATCAACTCAACTCACCGTGTTTGGAGGAGGAGGAATGCTGCCTATGACCCCAAGAACACCATCCCCACCGTCAAACATGGAGGTGGAAACATTATGCTTTGGGGGTGTTTTTCTGCTAAGGGGACAGGACAACTTCACTGCATAAAAGGGAAGATGGACGGGGCCATGTACCGTCAAATCTTGGGTGAGAACCTCCTTCCCTCAGCCAGGGCATTGAAAATGGGTCGTGGATGGGTATCCCAGCATGACAATGACCCAAAACACACGGCCAAGGCAACAAAATAGTGTCTCAAGAAGAAGCACATTAAGGTCCTGGAGTGGCCTAGCCAGTCTCCAGACCTTAATCCCATAGAAAATCTGTGGAGGGAGCTGAAGGTTCGAGTTGCCAACCGTCAGCCTCGAAACCTTAATGACTTGGAGAAGATCTGCAAAGAGGAGTGGAGCAAAATCCCTCCTGAGATGTGTGCAAACCTGGTGGCCAACTACAAGAAACGTTTGACCTCTGTGATTGCCAACAAGGGTTTTGCCACCAAGTACTAAGTCATGTTTTGCAGAGGGGTCAAATACTTATTTCCCTCATTAAAATGCAAATCAATTTATAACATTTTTGACATGCACATTTCTGGATTTTTTTGTTGTTATTCTGTCTCTCACCGTTCAAATAAACCTACCATTTAAATTATAGACTGATCATGTCTTTGTCAGTGGGCAAACGTACAAAATCAGCAGGGGATCAAATACCTTTTTCCCTCACTGTATGTGTGTATGTATGTATGTGTGTATATATATATATATATATATATGTATATATATATATATATATATATATATATATAACATGGGGGATTGGAAGTGATGCAGACAATTACATTGATGGAAGTTACAATCTATCTGCAATATTAAGGATGTAGTTCAGTTGGTAGAGCATGGCGTTGCGGGTTCGATTCCCACGGGGGGCCAGTATGAAAAATAAAAATAAATATGTATGCACTCACTAACTGTAAGTCGCTCTGGATAAGAGCGTCTGCTAAATGACTAAAATATAAATGTAAGCTGATCTATCCCCTAAAATTTTTAAACATACCTTAAAGGCTGTTGAAGAACGGTGTGCACCGTTTAGTACAAAAACCGTCACGCAATGTTGAAAACGTTGAATTGAACTGAACGCACCCCTGGCAAAACCTCAATAGTGTAACTGCAGCTGTGTCTCCTATTGGAACAGTTCTATATTTGACCAGTAGAGGACGTGCTAGCACTACTTTAGCCTCACTTGCCTCTGTTTGGCTGTGTCTACACTTGATACTTACAGGCGACTTCTGCTATCAGAATACGAAGATCACATCGAAAAGATAGGTCACATTGTGGTCGGATTGTGTTCAGATCTGGCTGACAACTTCAGGAGGAGGTCAGAGACACATTGTTTGCGGATTTCTCCTCAGTCTGGATGCAATCAGGCTACTGAAAGCACACACAGTGGGCAACGTCATCGGCACTCTGCCCACAAGTCTCTAGAAAACGTGTGTTTTGCGAGCAAGAGGCACTTTTTTTTATTAAACATTGGATGAAATACGTTCCTAGCGTGTGAGGAACGTGTTTGCTGGCTTCATAACTGCTAGCCAGCTATCTTATTTAGAAAAAGTATTTTTTGTTTGGCTAGAGTTATGCTAACCTGTTTGCAATCCATTTGGCTTTGCTAGCTAGCTTGCTGGCTAGTTACATAGGTTAGCTGGCTAGTTAGCTACAGTAATTGGCTACTGCCATCAAGTTGTTGTTGTGTTATTATCAGATTTAGCCTGTTCCACCGTTTACAGAATGCATACTGGTATTTGAGTATAGTGTGAAAAGGGAGTCCGGAAACAATGTGGACACGGTAGACACATTTAAATATAGGTGTAGACGCATGATGTGTTCGGAATTCCATCATCAGAATACAAAAGCTGCATGAACTTTCAAGTCTAGACACAGCCTTTAATGTGTCTGGCGCTAGTTACTCTGAAGCACTGCAACTAAAATTCCAGATATAATTTCATTAGGCTTATTACACATGAATATGACACCTAATTAAACTTGTGCCTGATTATGATTTAAACTCATGACTGATCTGATAAAAAAAGTTTAAAAAAGACTTGGTTCCAAATACTGTCCAATGAATTATTTGTTAGCCTATAATAAATGCTTTTCCAACAGTCTTGAAAGAGTTCCCACATATGCTGAGCACTTGTTGGCTGCTTTTCCTTCACACTGCGGTCCGATTAATCCCAAACCATCTCAATTTGGTTGAGGTCGGGGGATTGTGGAGGCCAGGTCATCTGATGCAGCACTCCATCAATCTCCTTCTTGGTAAAATAGCCCTTACACAGCCTGGAGGTGTGTTGGGTCATTGTCCTATTGAAAAACAAATGATAGTCCCACTAAGCCCAAACCAGATGGGATGGCGTATCGCTGCAGAATGCTGTGGTAGCCATGCTGGTTAAGTTTGCCTTGAATTCTATATAAATCAGACAGTGTCACCAGCAAAGCACCCCCACACCATAACACCTCCTCCATGCTTTACGGTGGGAACTACACATGCAGAGATCATCCATTCACCCACACCGCGTCTCACAAAGACACGGCGGTTGGAACCATAAATCTCCAATTTGGACTCCACACCAAAGGACACATTTCCACCGGTCTAATGTCCGTTGCTCGTGTTTCTTGGCCCAAGCAAGTCTCTTCTTATTATTGGTGTCCTTTAGTAGTGCTTTCTTTGCAGCAATTCGACCATGAAGGCAGGGGCGGTGTGTTCAATAGGGCGATATGGGCGACGCACTG